ATTCTGTTTCTCGTTCATCTTTTGTGAAGCGGTGAGTCTGAGCAATTCGGAAAGTGTGTGCTCGAAAGACCACTGTTGAGAATATAGTATTTCTAACTATTGCACATTGTAAATGAACTCACTCTTGCCCAAGCACCATGTATAATGGGCTGGTTGGTGTATATCAATTGTGTTTAAATGCAGAAAGGTCTCCTAGGTTTCCTTTTGTTCTTTCTTTTCCGTGCCTGATGTTTGAAGAACAAATCAAGGAGAAAATTGTATGGCATTTGCTAGTTTAAACATGATGTATTATCACGTCTAGAGTCATAACTGTGGAATTTGCATATTAACGGAGACTAAGGGTGTAATTGGATATAGATTGATAAGTAGCAAGTGACATTTTATAAGAATTTATTGTCCTAACAATTCAACTAAAATACAGGCAAGCCTTCCCAAAAACCCAATCACAGAGACCCTTGAAGAATCTTGTGAATCTTCCATTATCGACAAACTCAATCCTAAGTTTCAAAGGTGACTTCATCAATAACCTTTCCCGGGCAAAACTAATGCAGGAACACTCAAGGTAGAATAGCTATAACATCCGATGCCCTTAGGGTAATGTAGTTGGACCCATCATTGCCCTTGAAATCATTGCCTGCATATTTCGAGTACAAAACCGTGCTTCCTGGAGAAATCGACAATGACTTCCTCTCGCCCGACTTATCAAGTGGACCAGGTCCAACAGCAACCACCTGTTACAAAATATACCACAAAAATTAATAAACACACAGTATTAAATTAGAAGTTAAAAGGAAAGATATAATATACTTTCTTTTTCATCTCTATTATAGGACTCCATTCTATCCTGGGTATATTAATATTTCAGTTAGTTCTACCTTTTAAAAAACAAAGTATGCATTTTTGTTTGACAAACTACGAATGTCTACAGCATACACTCTGGAAATCTAAAATCTAGCTCTTACCGTGCCAATTGAAGGCTTCTCCTTGCTTGCATCTGTAAGGAATAAACCACCAGCAGTTTTCTCTTCAGCCTCAGCCACCTAAATTTTTAACAAGAGTAAAAATAAAAAATCAAATCTCCTTCCAGTCATAGAAAGTCTAACAAACAACTGTTGTATCCAGAAGCTGCACAAATTCTCGACCTTGTTACAGAAAATAATGGGATTTTAAAAACAAAAATAAGACCTTGATGAGAACCCTATCATTCAAAGGCTTCATATCTTTCACATCATCCGTATCAAGAATGCCGATAATATCATCCTCCTTCAATATGAGATGGTTGGCTCCATTGAATTCGACTTCAGTCCCTGCATACTTGGAATACACCACTTGGGTACCCGTCTACACAATTGTCATCATCAGATTAAGCAAAACCAACCATCAATAAACAACAAAACTAAAGAAAGAAAACCCAAAATGACAGTCCATTTCACAATGGTACCTTAACACTAATGACCACTGTACTATTTCCAATTGTCCGACCTTCACCAACAGCAACAATCTCACCGCTTTGAGGTTTCGACTGGGCAGTTGAAGGTAGTAAGATACCACCAGACGTCATCTCCTCAGCTGTCTTGATTTTAACCAGAACACGGTCACCCAATGGCTTGAGAGACGTGTACTAGAAGATACAAGCAAAGCACGTGGGATGAGCTGAGTAGACCATTACATATCCTAATAATTTTATACATAAATGCAGTTCTCATTTGAGCTAGTGAACCCAACTAAGTACCCTTAAACATAAAATCATAGGGAGCTTGCTACAGGAGTACAATTCCAGGGAAGATGTCGAAATTTCCAATTTAAGTTAACCATTCAGCTTACCAAAGCACAAGAAATATTTCTCCCCATCATCAGAAAAATACTACATATATCATGCTTCTAAATATATCAACTGCTACTGGTAAACTGTTTTATAGAACAAATGAAATTTTCCATCATAACTTGCAATGGTAAGCATAGAAAACTCCAAACTACAAGGATTGATAGAACTTAAATATCAAAACAGTCAAATTCAAATAGCTCTGAACTTTGGAAAATGCAATTTGGAGTACTAAACCAGACTAACAGCTCGTATACCTTAGGAGCAATTGTTGTGGCAGCCTTCACGACAAGTCCACGAAATGAACTGAGAGAAAGCCCATTTTGCTTCATGGGCGATAACAGCGACACATTTCCAGCTCTCGAAGCCTTCAAACCATCAAACGAACAAAACCCTTTCGTGGAAATCGAGGAAGCAACCGAAGTCAACTGTGCAGCAGCCATTTCTTGCTACCAAACTGAAAAGGTGTCACATTTCTAAGATCAAAACTACGAGAAGAAAGGGAATCGTGAAAAGCTACACGAAACGAACTAAACAGAAAACGAACAACAGTACCTTTTAGTCAACAATTGAAAATGTAACTACTATGTAGCTACAATGGAGGATTCGTTAGGAAAGATGATAGCTAAAACCTAGAAAGTTCACCAGTGAATGGGGAGGTTTTATGAAGAAGATAAGAGGTTTCTAGAATTATTTAGATGGGGTTGTGATTTGGGCTTTCACATGTTGTGCTGTGCAAGTTGTGGACATTGTGATCAGGTACCTCTAAGCAGGCTTTATATATGTGCACCAAAGCCCAGTAAGAATGGTATTAATCGAGGTTTGGCTAATTTACATGTTTATTGCGTTTTTGTAAATTATTGTAAAAATATAAGATCAAAAATAAAACTATGCATAAACTATTAATAAGCTAGTAAATAATGTAATTCAACTATCAATAATAAACAATAAACAATAAATAAGTCATTCATAAACCACACAAAATTTGTATATTTGCAACTAAAATAGGGCAAGCAAGAGGAGATTGAGAATTTGACTTTAAAGCTAGATGAAATAAGGAAGGCTAGGGAGATAGAAATTGGGAGGAATGAGAGGCAGTCAAAAGAGGCTTGGATCTTGCTCATTGTGCTAAGGAATCTTTTTGAAGACCAAAGGCTAAAATCTATTTGCTGAAATAGCGAGATTTTAACATTAAATTTTTTCATGTCTATACTCTAGAAAGAGGAAGAGTAATGTCATCTACAGATTAATTTCAGAGGAAGACAGGATTTGTGACACTGTGAAAGCGATTGCATACTAGGTGACATCTTTTTATGCACAACTCTTTACATCTTAGGGGTCTCACGGAGGTGAAATTGTGATCTAGAATATCCCACGCTCTATTACATTGGCTTTTTACAATGACTTGTGGCTCTTATCTATGAAGATGAAATCAAACTGGCCTTATTCAGCATGACTCCTGAGTCCTGACAAAGCTCCGGGGGAGGAAATTATGTCTGCTCTTTTTGTTTTCCAGCATTTTTGACTTGTGTTAAAGAGTGACATTTGTTGTACTGTGAAAAGTTTTTTTCATTCTGGGTAGCTGAGATCTTGGTATCATACCTTAATCACACTGATACCTAGATACTTTAATCCTTCTTCTTTGAGCCACTTTAGACCAATACGTCTGTGTGGAGTTGGTTATAAGATAATTGCTAAAATCTTGGCTTTCAAATTGAAAAGATGTTTAGATGATTTTATTAGTCCTGCACAAGCAACCTTCATACCTGGGAGACAGTTGTTGGACAATGCAAAAATTGCTCAGGAGGTTCTTCATTATCTGAATATGCATAGGTCAGAGTCTATTTAATTTATGGCTCTTAAATTGGATAAAAAAAAAATCTTATAACTGCATATGAAACGCTTCATTTTCTGAATATGCACTTGTTCAATGAACTTCATCTGTCTATCTCACAGTTTATCGCATTACTATATTTTATTTTATAAATTATCTTCGTCTGTATGTTCCATAGTTTATTGCATAAATATTTTCACACTTTATCAATTATCTTTACTCGTATGCCGCATAGTTTATAGCATAACTATTTCGCACTTGATAAATTATTTTCGTTTGTCTGTCGCAAAGCTTGTCACATAAATATTTCGCACTTTATAAATTATATTTGTATTATCGCATAACTATTTCACACTTGATAAATTATTTTTGTTTGTCTGGCAGGCAGTTTTTCGCATAAATATTTTGTACTTTATCAATTGTTTTTGTATGTCTATCTCATAATTTATCACAAAATATATCCAGACTTTATCAATTATCTTTGCATACTCGCATAATTTGTTTAACACTTTGTGAGGTGAAAAAGTGAATTTAATATTTGATGGTGTGAAAAACTTCTAAAGAATGTAAATAACTATTTATTCAAATTTTAAAAATTTAAAAATATCCTTTATATGGAAATATAAAATTTATAAATGTAACATTAATTTTTCTACTAGCGTGATAATATTTTGCGTTCTATATAAATTTTATATACAAATTATAAGAGGATGATTGTTTATAAATTCAATTAAATTTTAATTGGTTTTTTTTAATTATAATTAATTTTGAAAAAAAAGTGATATAATTAGTAGTTAGTAGATATATTAAAATAATATAAAAATAAAATAATTAAAGTTGATATGATGTAAAAAGAGAAGAAAAATAATTGAAAGTGATGGTTAGTGAAATTATGTGAATGGATGAATAGTGAATTAAAATTGATGTGGTGTGTAAGAATGATTGGTTGAATAAATAGTTAATATTATTTAATTATATTAATAATATTAAAAATAGTAAAATTAAGTTAAAATGAAATTAAATTTGAATTTTAATTAATTTTTTTTAAATTGAAATGATAAACAATCAGCTGTATCAATATTTTAGAGCATTTCACAAACTGCTGAAACATGAAAAGAAGAACGAAATTCCTCCCAAATCCATAGTATCCATATCTCAAAATTAGTTTCATACATTATACAATTTCTAAACCTATTAACCCCATAGGACCCAAAATTGAGAGCGAATAACACAAAGGGAGGGGTCCCAAAATCAGAAATTCCACACAGGAGATGTATCGAACAACACACTGCCTCTGACGCCGTCGTTAGCTCCTCCGCCGTCCGCCGCCAAGTAGCTCTCAACAACAGAAGAAGACTCCGTCCCCGCCGCCTCACCGGAGAACACATCCTCCCCCGCGGGGGCCTCCGGCTGCCTGCCCCCGGATCCGGCGGCCGCCATTTTCCGGGCGTGGTTCGAGGCCGCCGCCTGGATCTCCGACGGCGACAGCCCCTCCGCGGAGATTATGTCCGGCGGGTCGTCCGGGAAGTTGAGCACCGCCGAGCGGCCGCGGAGGCAGAAGGCGGCGGCGTCATAGGCCCTGGCGGCCTGCTCGGCCGTGTCGTAGGAGCCGAGCCATATACGGGCGCGGCTGTGGGGCTGGCGGACCTCCGCCACCCACTTGCCCCATTTCCTCATCCTCACGCCCTTGTACCGACGATCGGATCTCAGTGGCTGAAGCCTCACCATTTTCGTACGAATTTTAATATTTTCCTCGACAATTTTGCCCTAATTGTTTCCCCTATTTTGCCTGGATTGTTCAGAATTATATTTGAAGAGCAGCAGGCTTGGGACACGTGGGACGGCTCACAGGCGCCACGTAAACGATGTGCAGGTTATAGTTTAAGGTAAGTGGGGACAGGTGTTAACGGCGATGAGGTTGGTCTGCCGCTTAATATGACTACGTGTCTTCAATCCAAAGGCCTTGCTATTGACTCATCTCCTATCTAATATACTAGGCCCGTGTGATTTC